GGTCTTCTCTGCTATTTATACTTCTTAATGATAACCGTCGAAATGAGCTTCCAACGTCGAATCATCCCTCTATGATTACTGATCATGTTTCCTCACAGCTAGCTCCACTACGCCATGTCTGCAGTTAGGCTTCCCTCATGATTTTGAATTTAAATATATGAGTAACCGTTAAAGCCACGTCATCTTGCATCTCTTTGCTGGTCCAGTGTTATGCAATCTACAATAACATATACTAACTGCCACGTGTATGATTATGATTGAAGATTTGGATTGTCTTCCGTATTGCCTTCATCCTGCCACTTGTTGGACTGTGAATGGCCTATACAAAATATGTATCAACAGTTATGTTTGAGAAAAATACACTAAAGAATTTTTTTGAAATGTTCATGTTTAGTAATTTTAACATTATATGAAAACCCACATTTGTCTGCTCAACATATAATACATATATGCTTGCCTTTATATAATTTCACATTAGAATGAGACCTTTAGATCTAAAAAAAAAAAAAAAAAGAGAACCAAATAATTCACAAAATCACTATTTAAAATTTATTGGTGTATCACCCTTAATTTGGATAACATTTTTCATCCTACAAATTTTATTCAAATTTCATTTTGTGAATGAATTTCTCAAAATTTGAATTTCCTTAATTGGATGATTTCAACTAATTCTCTAACCTATATATAGTGCGATGAATAGTGTGTTGGTTTGAGTTTTTGTAGATTAATTTTTTAAAAATTGAAGTTTGTTTTCATATATTTTTTATTTTTAGTGAATATTTTTAAAATTTTAAATTTTTTTTTATATTTTAGATGCATCTTACTTAGATGTATCTAAAAAGTAAAAAATTTTGTGAAAAATATTTTAAAAAAATTAATAAATACATAAAATATAAAAAATATATATTGAATTCTCGTATTTTTTTGTATTTTTGGTATTTAGTGAATTTTTTAAAAGGTTTTTTTCACAATTTTTTTACTTTTTAGGTATATTTATATTAGGTATGTCTAAAAAATAAAAATAAAATAAAAAATTACTTAAATATTAAAAAAAATTCAGTAAAAACAAAAAACATTACAGAAAATAAGAAAGTAGATATTTTCTAAAAAGTATTTTTGAAAAAGTGTAACCAAGCATAGGAATTCAACTTTATTGTAAATGGAAAATGTTTGGTAGCTCAAATTTGTGACTTTAACATTGGCTCACAATTTGTTAAAACGACGTCGTTACACTCAAAATCTGTCAAAACAACGTCGTTTTGAGTGATTTGAGCCATTTGATTTCAACAAAATTTTTGAGTTACCTAGCATTGTTGATTATAAATAGCCTACTAAAGTCTTTTTGAAGAAGCCGAAAACGCAGTGTTTGGCAACAACAACAAAACGCAGCACATGCACAAAGCCAAACCCACCATTTGGGAGACCCCAAAACGCAGCTCTTCATTTACCAAAACTCCCTATGAAAAAATTATTATTAATTTAATTCAAAAATTAGGTTGACATGCCAAAGGCAAAATTTGTAAAATCTAATTAAAAAGCAAGATATTTTGGGTCATTTTAGGAGTGATTTGACACTTTTACAAATTTACAATCAAAAATCAAAAAAGTCAATTTTTACCAACTTTTCAAATCAACTTTCCCCAAAAAAGCCAAAAAGTCAAAAAGCTTGGTAAATAAGCCAATACCAGACGTTTTTACCAACTTTACCAAAACACCTAAATTGTTTTTCACCTTTTTTTTTCTCTTTCTTTTATCAACTAAAAGTGGGTTAGTTTTTGACTTTTTTTCTATTTTAACCTGGGGCTAAAAGAGCCTAGTTTGGAAAGACTTTTTTTTTTTGACTTTTTTTGTGAGAAAAAATATAATATTATGGTTAAGATGTGATATTTTTTTTCTTATTAGACTAAAAACCTTATTTACTTTTGTAAACTAATTTAGTCAAAAAAAAAAAAAAAAAAAGTCTCTAAACTAACTTTGCAAACGGAGCTTAGATATGAGTCTCATTCTCAAATGAGCTCTTGGCAAAACATTCAATAGTCTGGATGAAGTCTATAATCTAGATCTGTTTGGGGCATTATTTCTCGGGACATTTTAATAATATTTCCCACAACAGAGTACATGGCACAAGCTGGAAGCGGCACCTTCACATACTCGGGCCTTGTTTGAAAATATATGATTTTAATAATTTTTTAATTTTTTTATAAAAAGATATGTTAAAAAAATAAAGAGAGCGATGTGATAATTTATAATAATTTTTTGATTAAAACTGAATATTGCCAAATAGAGGCCTCAATTAAAAGGATCTAAGAACTAACGGTTTAATTTCTATCTACCCAACAATTTTTTTTTTATTTTTTATTTTTTGGTTTTTGTTTTGTTTTGTTTTTGGTATTTAGTATTTGTTTTGATTTAAGGATAAGAATCTAGCCAACACCATTGAAGGAGAAATATTGGGCAAGAAATTCAATTTGTCTGCTTCATAAAAATTTGAGCAGAGGTGATGAAGGAAGAAATGAATAAAAAATTATTTTTAAATAAGTAAAAATATTTTATTATTAAAATTTTAAAATTGTTGCTAATTTTTTTTAACATATATATATATATATATATTTGAGAATTAATTTTTTTTTTTACATATATTTTTTAAATTTAAAAATGAAAAAAAAAATAAAAAACATACAAAAATAAAATAAACAGTAACCAACACGAATGCAAAGTAATTTTTAGATTTTACAATTATGCCCCTAATGGGAAGACAAATAGTTAAACGTCAAAGGTTAGCATGAGAGGGTGACCTTTGGCATTGGAAACGACACCTCAATCAACTAACCTAAACCCATTTTGTCCCTTTGTAGACTCATTTCTAGGAGGGCATTGTGGAACACAATACCATCCAAAAATAACTAAAAAAATAAAATAGAAGGATAAATTACGCTCACGTTCCCCTGAGATTTTAAACAAAATACAATTAGTTTCTTAATTTATATAATTATACTGATATTTCTTTTAATACAACAAAAATTAATACAGATGATGAGCAAATATTGAAATAAATATACATTTTAGTTGAAAATAGACAATTAACGAATTATTAATTAAAAAATCAGTATTAATTGTCAAAATTGTTAGAATAATTATGTTTTTCCAAACTTCTAGAGAAGGAAGTGTAGTTTATCCAAAACAAAAAATGAAAAAAAGATATCTTAAAGGATAAATTGTAATTATAATTTCAAGATTAAATCGTCTATTTTTTTATAAGACAAATGTAATATAATTATAATATTTGATCAATTTAATTTTTGTTTGAATAATTACTTATTAGACAATAAAATGACAACTTTCTAAATAGACAAAATGCCCCCCTCATGGATGATAGTAGAAGATATCATTCTAAAGACGTATATAGCTTTGGTTTAATTTTCAGAATTATTATTTTTTATTTTTTTTTATTTTTATAAAAAAAACCTAAAAGCTAGTTTAGTAGTAAAATAAAAATATATAAAATATTCATTATTTTATATGGGTTTCCTTTTTGGCGAGGTAAATAAAATAAATTTTGAAAATAGTTTTTAAGTATTTATTTTTATCAAACTATTTTTTATTTTTAAAAAAGCTTCAAAATAACAAAAATTGAAGATAAAACCAAACAAAATCTATATTACTCTTAACATATTATGATATATATATACTATAATATTTATTACTAATATATAAAGCCTCGTTGCAAGAATGGTCACTTTCCTATTTTTTTATTTTTTAAAAATACTCAAGATCACATTACTCAACCTATAATCTTACATTACTCCACAAAAAAATAAAAATACCAGCCAACTAAAAGCACAGAGCTCCTTTTAGCCAAGTTGCTTTTAAATAGACCGTTTTATTTAGGCCGTTGTGTTAGATAAATTCAAATTGTTAAATATATGGGGTTGTTTGGTAACGTTTACGTTTTCAGTTTATATTTATAAAATATTTTATTAAAATTATTTTTGTTATATTTAGAAAAAATAAATTACAAACGCGTTTGGTAATTGACAAAATGTTTAAAAATTTAAAATATAAAAAAGAGTGAGAAATGTCAAGTGTTGGGCGGAAGACGGTGTGGAAAGTGGTTGACGGTGGGTGGTAGGTAGTGGGTGGAGGGTGGTGTGTGGTGAGGTGTGGTGGTGGTGGGTGGGTGCCGGTGACGGTGGCGGGTGCGTGGGTGGTGGGTGGTAGTAAGTGGGTGGTGGTGGTAGAGTGGCGGGTGGGGAGAGTGGTGGGCAGCAGGTAGAGGTGGTGGATGGCGATGGTGGTAGGCTGGTGCGGGGGTAGGTGGCTAGTGGTGTGATGTGAGGTGGCGGGGGTAGGCAAGTGTGTCGGTTGGCGGATAGGGTGGGGGTGGTGGTGGCAGGGTGGCTGTAACGATGGCGGAGTGAATGGTGGGTGGTGGGTGGTGACAGTGCAGGTGTTGTGCGGTGTAGCGGTGAGCGGTGGTGGTGGTTGGTGGCTGGTGTAGAGTGGTGGTGGCGGGTGGTGGCAAGTGGCTGGTGTAGATGGTAATGGCAGGTGGTGACGTGAGTGGTAGTAGCGGGGCGCGTGAGATGGTAGTGCTGCGGCGTGCCGCTGCACGCACAGGAGATAGCAGGTGGGTGTTCGGTGGCGGCCACGCTGGCCTGCAGCCACCTGCACGCGGCGAGCTGTGAGGTAGTGGTGCGTAGAGTGACAGCCGGGATTTCGTACAGATACCCAGGCGATAATAGTAGCGTCCTTATGACAAATAGAGTGTAGTTGTCTCACCGGTGACAAGTGGCATGATTGGCTGGTGCGGTGGCTGGTGGGTGGTAAGTGGTAACTGGTTGGGCACTGGTGGTCTGGTGGTGGTTCTAGGGTGTGGGGTGGTGAGGACCAGGGCTCTTCACCACGGCTCATCCGGTGGTCAGGTGGTGTGGGGCTGTGAGGCGGTGGGTGGTGGGTGTGGTGGCGAAGACGTGGTGGAAAATAGTGGCGGCTTGGAGCTCCTGACATGATATGCAAAGACCAGTTTTTAGTTCAGAGCACAGTTGTTCCTGCAGGGACCAGTGATGATGATATTACTCCTAGCATTGTAAGTTGTTTTGTAGTTGTATATAAAGTTGTTGGTCCTGATTTACTATTCTGGTTTCTCACGGTTTAGTTTGGCAGTTTGCCAAAGATGATGTCAGATACGTTGAAGAGAACAAGCTGAAAGTGGTCCTTGTCAGTCCCTCCAATTCTCCGGTACTTTCACCAATCAATAGAACATTGAAACAGGTGCTGGCTTATGAACCTTCAATACTGAAAGATCAAGTGCTGAGGAAAGTCGAAAGCCTTACCCAACGTCACACAGTAAGAGATTCTCCTTTTACTTTGATATCAGGCTCATCTATGTACATTTTATATGTGGACATCAACATGATGTAAGTCTATTCGGGGAATTGTACATGTGAATCTAATGGTTACATTGGAGCTTCATTATGTTGTCCAAAGCTTTATTCTTCAACTTTATTACAAATACCTACTAAATTGTATTTTCCACTTTTTTTTTTCTCTTTCTTTTATTCAACTAAAAAGTGGGTTAGTTTTTTGACTTTTTTGACTATTTTAGCCTGGGGCTAAAAAGCCTAGTTTGGGAAAGACTTTTTGTTTTTTTGATTTTTTTGACTTTTTTATGAGAAAAAAAATATAATGATTATGGGTTAGATGTGATATTTTTTCTTATTAGACTAAAAACCTTATTTTACTTTTTGAAACTAATTTAGTCAAAAAAAAAAAAAAAAGTCTCTAAACTAACTTTCCAAACGGAGCTTAGATATGAATTTCATTCTCAAATGAGCTCTTGGCAAAAACATTCAATAGTCTGGTAGTGAAGTCTATAATCTAGATCTGTTTGGGGCATTATTTCTCGGGACATTTTAATAATATTTCCCACAACAGAGTACATGGCACAAGCTGGAAGCGGCACCTTCACATACTCGGGCCTTGTTTGAAAATATATGATTTTAATAATTTTTTAATTTTTTATAAAAAGATATGTAAAAAAATAAAGAGAGCGATGTGATAATTTATAATAATTTTTTGATTAAAACTGAATATTGCCAAATAAGGCCTCAATTAAAAGGATCTAAGAACTAACGGTTTAATTTCTATCTACCCAACAATTTTTATTTTTATTTTTATTTTTATTTTTTTGGTTTTTGTTTTGTTTTGTTTGGTATTTTAGTATTTGTTTTGATTTAAGGATAAGAATCTAGCCAACACCATTGAAGGAGAAATATTGGGCAAGAAATTCAATTTGTCTGCTTCATAAAATTTGAGCAGAGGTGATGAAGGAAGAAATGAATAAAAATTTATTTTTAAAATAAGTAAAAATATTTTATTATTAAAATTTTAAAAATTGTTGCTAATTTTTTTTAACATATATATATATATATATTTGAGAATTAATTTTTTTTTGACATATATTTTTTTAATTTAAAAATGAAAAAAACAAAAAAAATAAAAATAAATAAACATAACCAAACGAGCAAGTAATTTAGATTTCAACAATGCTAGAGGGTCACAATTTTTGTGGTCACAATGGCTCAAAACTGTCAAAACGACGTCGTTTTGACATGTTTTGCACCCAAAACGACGTCGTTTTGATAATTTTAAGCCATTATAACCACAAAAATTATGACTCTCAAACATTTTCCTTTAGATTTTACTATGCCCTAATGGAAGACAAATAGTTAAACGTCAAAGGTTAGGCATGAGAGGGTGACCTTTGGCATTGGAAACGACACCTCAATCAACTAACCTAAACCCATTTTGTCCCTTTGTAGACTCATTTCTAGGAGGGCATGTGGTAACACAATACCATCCAAAAATAACTAAAAAAATAAAATAGAAGGATAAATTACGCTCACGTTCCCCTGAGATTTTAAACAAAATACAATTAGTTTCTTAATTTTATATAATTATACTGATATTTCTTTTAGTACAACAAAAATTAATACAGATGATGAGCAAATATTGAAATAAATATACATTTTAGTTGAAAATAGACAATTAACGAATTATTAATTAAAAAATTCAGTATAATTATGTCAAAATTGTTAGAATAATTATGTTTTTCCAAACTTCTAGAGAAGGAAGTGTAGTTTATCCAAAACAAAAAATGAAAAAGATTATCTTAAAGGAATAAATTGTAATTATAATTTCAAGATTAAATCGTCTATTTTTTTATAAGACAAATGTAATATAATTATAATATTTGATCAATTTAATTTTTGTTTGAATAATGTACTTATTAGACAATAAAATGACAACTTTCTAAATAGACAAAAATGCCCCCCTCAATGGGATGATAGTAGAATATCATTCTAAAGACGTATATAGCTTTGGTTTAATTTTCAGAATTATTATTTTTTATTTTTTTATTTTTTATAAAAAAAACCTAAAAACTAGTTTAGTAGTAAAAAAACTAAAAGCTAGTTTAGTAGTAAAAATAAAAATATATAAAATATTCATTATTTTTATATGGGTTTTCCTTTTTTGGGAGGTAAATAAAATAAATTTTGAAAATAGTTTTTAGTATTTATTTTTATCAAACTATTTTTTATTTTTAAAAAAGCTTCAAAATAACAAAATTTGAAGATAAAACCAAACAAAATCTATATTACTCTTTACATATTATGTATATTATAACTATAATATTTATACTAATATATAAAGCCTCCGTTTGGCAAGATGGTTTTCAGGCTTTTTTGGCTATTTTAGCCACAAAAAACAAAATAGGCTATTTTAGCCATAACAAACAAAATATCACATCCAACCTATAATCATTACATTCTTCTCTCACAAAAAAAGTCAAAAAAGCCAAAAAGCCAAAAAGCCCTTCCCAAACCAAGCTTTTTAGCCAAGGCTAAAATAGCCAAAAAAACCAAAAAGCCAACCTACTTCCCAAACCAAGCCAAAGTCAACAAGTTGGAATCCACTTTCCTATTTTTTTATTTTTAAAAATATAGGGTGTGTTTGGTAACGTTTACGTTTTCAGTTTATATTTACAAAAATTTTATAAACTGATTTTTGTTTATTTTTTGTTTATTTTTAGAAAAACATAAACTACAAACGTGTTTGATAATTGACAAAATGTTTAAAAAATTTAAAAATATAAAAAAGAGTGAGAAATGGCGAGTGGTGGCAAGTGGCGGCTGAAGACGGTGGTGGAAAGTGGTGACGGTGGGTAGTGGGTGGTGGTGGGTGGATGGGTGACGGTGGTGGGTGGTAGGTGGTAGCGAATGGGTGGAGGTGGTAGTGGTGGTGGTAGGAGGTGGGTAGCGGGTGGGTGATGGGTGGTGGTGGTGGTGGTGGCGGGTAGGTGGCAGGTGGTGGTGATAGTGAGTGGGTGACAGGTGGCTGGTGGGTGGTGGTGGTGGTGGCGACTGGTGGCTGGTGGTGGTAGGTGGGTGGTGAGTGGTGGTGGCGAAAGATTGTGGTGGAAAATAGTGGCGGCTGGTGGCTAGTGTTGGGTGGTAAAAAAAAAATTAAAAACTCAATATGGAAACACATTTTTTGAGTTTATATTTTTTGGCCAAATTTATAAACTGAGACCACTAATTTATAAATCAAAAATTTACTAAACAAGTTTTTATTTGAGTTTTTAAAATTTTTGTAAATATAACAGAAAACTAAAAACGTAAGTATTACCAAACAACACCATAGAGTTCGTCGAGTATATTATTTTTATAAAAAAATATTATTGATTGGATATTAATAGTTACTTAATCAGACTACATTTCTGTCATAATTTGTTTCAAAATTTATATTTACCGTTGATAAAAATATATTTTAAATAAATAAATATTAATATCTAATGAACTTGATTTTTTTTTTATCAAAATAATGAAAATAACATACTCAATAAACTCTACATTGACTGTTTAAATCATGAAAATAAACCTAGATCAAGGCCCACTATGACCCAATAGAATTGTCTAATCTCATGACAGACTAGAGAGAGTCATATCCATATATATATATATATAGAGAGAGAGAGAGAGAGAGAGAGAGAGAGAGAGAGAGAGGGGGAAGGTTTACGTTTTGAAACCACAAACAAGCACATCACCAACAACCAACAAAAGTAAGCAGTAGCAGCATTTCATCATGCTTCTCCTTTGCTCCGCTCACCAAACCCACTTCTCCTCCTCATCCCTCATCATTATTATATCATTGTTACATTTTCTTAATTTGTTTCTTTTTTTTCTTTTTCTCTTTTTCTCTCTCTTTAAACTCAAACCTTGTTTGGTTTGTGTTTTTTAAAAAATTTTAAAAAAAATTCTCTACAAATAAATTTTCAAAAGTAATCAAATCAAATAAATTTTTTTTAAATTTTTTTTCAAAACTTGTTTGGTTTATAAGTTTTCCAAACAAATCTCTCTCATACACATCAAATCAATCATTTTTTCTAAAACTCTCTTTCAAAATAATTTTTCAAAACATCTTTTGAAAAAAACTAAACCAAACAGCTTTTCATACTTTTTATCTCTATTACTCATCTCCCAAACTCAAACCAAACATACCCAAAGTTCTTTATTTACAACCATTATAAATGGCAAGTTTTTGTATTCCTCCCATCATGATATTAGAAAGATTAGAATATGAATTTTCTATTCTTTTGTCTCAAACCTCTCTATAACATAACATATCTTGTCAAAATTAATTATTTTGATACGTTTTATGTAAAGTGGTGATTTGAAACATTGAGAGAAGATAATAATAATCGAGAAATTCATAACAATAATATTGATCGTGACTATGGGCTAATTTGTAAACATGATCTATTTTGAATCATATCACTTTTTTATTTTTTTAATATATTTTTTTTAAAAAAATAAATTAAATCAAAAGTTAATTTTTAATTAATTTTTTAAAATAATTTTAAATAGATTTTTAAAATATTATGAATCAGTTTGTTTGGTTCCAGTTTTTAAAAAAATTTATTTTTTTATTTTTCATATTTTAATATTTTCAATAAATTTTTTTTAATATTTTAAACATTTTTTTTTAATTTTTAGACACCTAACGTAAACATACTTAAAAAATATAATATTTGTGAAAAAAATCTTTAAAAAATACATTAAATACGAAAAAATTTCAAAAAAAATGAAAATTTAATACATTTTCGTATTTTTATGTATTTATTAATTTTTTAAAATATTTTTTCACAAATATTTTACTATTTAGATATATCTAAATAAAATGCATCTAAAAAAGTAAAAAAATTATTTAAAATTTAAAAAATATTCACAAAAAATAAAAAAAAAATATGAAAAATAAAAAACTCAATTTTCAAAAAACTGAATTCAGAAAGTTGAAACTAAACACACTTATTTTTGCGATAATAGTTCAATTACGTTATAGTTGTTAAAAAATTTATAAATTTTGCTACATCATTTTTGTAATAAAGTGTGAAAGAATCAAAGTATAACTTGGTCACGGATTCAACAAGATGATCGGGTTGAGTTAGGAAGATTTCTTTAATTATTGTTTAATAAATGAAAAGAAATTAAAACTCTTTGGGTAGGTGAAAAAGAAAAAGTAAGACAAGAAGAGCCATCCTACCAAAGGACCTTTGCCTCCTTCAACAATTTTTTTTTTTTCTTTTTTTTTAAAGGGAGACAAGAAGACATGTGCACACCCCTACATTTGTCATAACCAATTATGGCCCAAGACCAAAACACACCAACAAAAAAATAAAAAAAATAAAAAAAAATAATCAACTTGTTTTAAGATTCATTTTTCAAAAAATTAAAATTTTTTATTTTTTATATTTTTTATTTTCATTGAAATTTTTAATATTCTAAGCAATTTTTTTAAAAAAAAATTTAGATGCACCTAATATAAATATACTTAAAAAGTATAATATTTGTGAAAAAAAATCTTTAGAAAATTTATTAAATATAAAAAATAAAAGAATTTAGTATGTTTTCGTATTATTGTGTATTTATTAATTTTTTTACAAATAATTTACTTTTTAGATACATTTAAATAAAATAGATCTAAAAAAAGTAAAAAATATACTTAAAATTTTAAAAATATTTACTAAAAATTAAAAAAAAAACACAAAAAAAATTAAAAAACTGAAACCAAATACACTGAGCCTACTAGTTATGCACGTTTAGAATAAATTACAAGGTCACAGACTTTGAATTATGTTATGAAAAAATGTTTGAGGGCCCGAAATTGTTTGGCTCGAAATTGGCTCGAAACTCAAAACGACGTCGTTTTGGATTCTCTTACCGGTAAGATATATTACAATTCTCTTACCGGTAAGATAATCAAAAACAACGTCGTTTTGGATTCTCTTACCGGTAAGATATATTACAATTCTCTTACCGGTAAGATAATCAAAAACAACGTCGTTTTGGATTCGGGACAAATTCGAGCTTGAAATGTTCGGGCCCTGTAGCAACGTTGTTATGTTATGCCCTCTAGTCATCTTTTATCCTCTTACATCTTTTACACACAAAACCATCATTTGGCTTCAACGGCCACCACCATCCCCTTTCATTATCACTACCCCTCGCGCGCCACTATGGCTGCCATCATCTCCTTTTTTATATGGAAAATACTTCGTAGCTCGAAAAACATACGACTCGAATTGGCTCGAATACTCAAAACGATGTCGTTTTGGGTTTTTTTTTTTTCAATTTATTCTTTCCTGTTTACAGAGAGGGGGAATAGATCTGAAAACCACAGATCAATTTTTTCTCTGAATCGACAGAAGATGGAGAGAGAGAATGAGGAAAGATGGAGAGGAGGAGGAAGAGGAGGAGAAAAAAAAGATGGAGAGGAGGAATGGATTTGTATATAGACAGATCTGTATACATCACACAGAGGAGACTCTTTTCCTCTCTTTCTCTTGTGTGTGTCTGTGTGTTAGGAGAGATTGATGAGCTACTTATTAATAAAGTTTAGGTAAGGTGGGTGGTGAAGCATTCAATGGCCTCTCTATTATTATGGATGTCTCTCATCTCATCATATCTCTCTGCTACACACATAGCTTTAATTTGAATCTCCGTAGGTTTGATTTTTGGTTTTAATTTGTGGGTTTGATTTTTTGTTTTGATTTAAATCTCTTTAGGTTGAATTTTTGGTTTTAATTTGTGGGTTTGATTTGTTAGTTTGATTTTTGGTTTTGAGTTTTGGGTTTGATCTGTCTGATTCTTCCTCTCCACTTCTCTTCTTCTTCTTTCTTCCTTCTCTGTGGAACCTGTGAGTTACGAAAAACAAAAAAAAAAAAAAAAAAAAAAAACCAAAAGAACAGCGTTTTGGTCTCGAGCCAGTCGAGCCTCCCATCTTTCGAGCTACCTAGCGGGGTCATTTTTATATTGCCACCACCTTCGACCCTTCCACTAAATTCACCTTGATACAAAGCAAAAACTCAAAATTTTCTATTTAAGCATGTTGCGTGTTTATACTTATCTAAGCCTCGTTTGGAAACATATTATTTTAATAATTTTTTAATTTTTTATAAAAAAATATGTAAAAAAAAAAAAAATAATATGATAATTTATAATGACTTTTTAAATTTTTAATTAAAATTGAAGTTACCAAACAAAACCTAGTATTTTCGGTACACAAAAAGCAACTTTTTGTGTCACCTAGACCTCTGAAACAGATTCCATATAAGACTCTAGACCTTTGAAACAGATTCCATATAAGACTTCACAATGATGTAATGTTTGGTTTCGTTTTTTTTGAAAACAATTTTCAAAAAAATTTATTTTTTTATTTTTCATATTTTTTTATTTTTACTGATTTTTTTAAATATTTTAAGTAATTTTTTTTAATTTTTAAACACACTTAACATAAATACACATAAAAAGTATAATTTTTGTGAAATTTTTTTTTAAAAATTTAATAAATATCAAAAATACAAAAAAAAAATACGAAAATTTAGTATGTTTTTTATATTTTTATGTATTTGTTAATTTTTAAAAATATTTTTTCACAAATTTTTTACTTTTTAGATACATCTAAGTAAGGTACATCTAAAAAAAATGCTTAAAATTTTAAAAATATTCAATAAAAATAAAAAAAACACGAAAAACAAAAAACTCAATTTTTAAAAAACTTAATCTAAAAAACTCAAACCAAACACTATTGTCAAAAACATGAATCACAATAATAAAGATTTAGATTTGAAAATGAAAGAGTTACGCAATGTACATTATTAAAATAAAAATAAATAAATAAAAGTAACTCAGCCTCTGTTTGGCAAGTTAATTTTCAGGCTTTTTTGGCTATTTTAGCCACAAAAAATAAAATAGGCTATTTTAGCTATAACAAACAAAACATCACATCTAACCTATAATCATTACATTCTTCTCTCACAAAAAAAGTCAAAAAAACCAAAAAGCCAAAAAGTCCTTCCCAAACCAAGCTTTTTAGCCCAGACTAAAATAGCCAAAAAAATCAAAAAGCCAAAAGACCATAAAAATCGAAAGAAGGAAACCGCTATGGTGTGACTTGGCAATCATTTCATTTTTTGTTTAATGTCTAAATGTCCAAAAATTTAATTACAATATTTTTTGTTACATTAATTTATGATAATATTACATATTTTATGATTAATATTATAAAATAATATGATAAAATTACACATTTTGTGACGGGTACATATTCTACTGGGTGCACACTATAGGAGAATCGAAAAAGGATATCACATCTACAAACTTTATTATATAACTTTACTCATAAAAACCACAATAAGGTGAAACACAATGAAAAAAATAAATAAATAAATAATAAAAAATAATAATAAAAACTTCAGTTAAGTTGTTAGTTGAAAAGAAAAACAGAACAATACCAAGAATGAGAAAATAATCAAATCAGAATGTAAAATATCCACTTTGAATTAATTAAAAATCTTTAGGCAGAGTGGTTGAACCCAAATGAGTAGTGAAATTTGTCCAAAAATAAAAAAATAAATAAATAGTGAAATGTGGACAATTAAATCGCCAAAAAAAATTAGATTAGGGGATGTAATTTTTTTGTCATTGCAAGGTGAAAGTATGCGAGTATTTTCATTTAGGAGCAATACTAATAAAACTTGATGATGAAGAAAATGAAATAGTTATATGGAAAAAGATTGAGGCCTCAAATTTTTGGCTCAAATTTGACTCGAATTTTCTTTTTTTTTTTTTTTTTTTTTTTATTATTATTATTTTTATTTATTTATTTTTTGCAATGTATTAGCCAAGAAAAAAAAAAAAAAAAAAATTGCATTTGAGGCAATTTCAAGCCTCAATTTCGAGGACTCAATCACAGCTCTAGTTATATATATTATGATGCAAATAACAACCAAAAAAAAAAAAGAAATCATAGGAACTACAAATAAAATAAGTTTCTTTCTTTCTTCATTATCTCAAACATGAAAATTACAAAGATTGCGTGGGGTGGTAATAAGATGATATTCACAAATCTCATAAAGAAAGCCACAACTTTCATGATGACATCAACTTTATACATATTTACCCCATTAACAACAACTCTTTTTCTCGTCTCTTCCTTCCTTGATGAATTAAAAATTCTAACCACAAAAAAAACAGAAAAAAAAAGAAGAAATTAAATATTTTTTTAAATAAATATTGAGAGAGAGAGAGAGAGAAGGGTTTTGCTAATCTTCCCGGGAGGGGCACCAAGGTGTCATGTCCATGGGATAGCTCCCCAACACCCTCAAGAAAGAGGTGAACTCCTGAACCTCCGCGAGCGCGTTCTGCGCTCTCACCTCCGCCATTGAAGCCTCGAAATCCACGTAGAACATGTACTCGAAATGCTTCGCTGTTCCTTCATTCTGATCATCCACTAGCCGAATTGGCCTGCTCCTGTGCGGCCTACTCTCTATCTTCGTCAAGCTTATATTCCGAAACGCGAACGCCGACAACACCTTGAACAGCACCGAAGTTCCTTGATCATGCGCGAACACTATGCTCGTCTTGAAAGGTCGGTCTGTTCTCGGTATGATCGGTTCTCGAGCAAGCATCACAAACCGAGTCACGTTGCTCGAATCGTCCTGGATTCCGTCGGCCAAGATTTGGAGTCCGTAGAGATCGGCGGCGCGTGATGAAGCGATCGCCGCCGTGTCACGGAGGTTATTCGCGGCGACGAACTCCGCCGCTCCGGCGGTGTCGTCGACGGCCTCGCGAACCACGTTGAGGCCTAGTTTGGTGAGAGTGTGTTCGCACTGAGCTAGGGCTTGAGGATGGCTAATCACGCGAGTCAGATATTCTTTTCGAACGCCTGGGAGAGCGAGGAGGGAGTGGTGGACGGGGAGCTGGACTTCGCCGACGATGTGGAGTCGGTGGCGGAGGAGGAGATCGTAGTTCCGGTGGATGCTTCCGCCGAGAGAGTTCTCTACCGGCAAGACGGCTCTGTCGGCGATCCAGAGCTCGACGGCTTGGAATGCGACTTCGAACTGGTCGCAAGGGACGGCTTCGCAGTTCGGATAGGCTTTGCCGGCGGCGGCTTCGCTGTAAGCGCCGGGGACGCCTTGGTAGGCGACTCGGAGCTTATTGCCGTGAATCGGCGCCGGAGATAGGTCGGCGATGGTGAGCGCCTTCGGAAGGTTATCGATAGGGACGAGATCTAGGGTTTTGTGGCCGTTGACGGCGGTGATGTCAGAGTTGCCGCTCTTTTCGGTGTCTTGCTGCTGGGAAGCCACCTTGCTGGCCAGGATGGCGCAGGAGCTCTGCCAGTCGGCTCGGCAGGAGCCAACGCCGCCGCACAAGACGTTGGCGTTGGTTGTGGCTGCGTTTGACGTAGCATTGGCAGAGTCGAACCGGTACACGCATTTCACGAGGAGTCGACTTGGCCCGACTCGGTTGGTGGAAATCGGAGATTTCGTGGTAATTAGAGACTTGAGACTAATACTCGTAGAAGGTGTGAGAGACTGCATTTTTTTTTTCCCCCCTTGGAATTCGATTTTGAATTCTTTCAAATGATTGTTATAAAAATGGAAGGAAAAGAAGAGAGGGCTGGTTAGAAATGAACAGTTGTTTTTTGTTTTGTTTGTGTTTTGTGTGTGTGTTTTTTTTAAAGCTTGTTGTTCCGTGAGAACGTCCAAGCTGAGAAAAATAAATGGAGGGTTGGGGTTTTTATAGTGGTGAGAAAGAGAGAGAGAGAGGGTGTGCGTGTGTGATGAGGAAGGAAAGTAGAGGGAAAAGACTTGAGAGAATGGTATGTGTGTGGGACGGTGGTTCAGTCAATCTCACACCTACCACCTTTATCTCTCTTATTTTCTCTTTCTACAGTTTATGTTGAATTTGAATGTTTAATTTGTTTGTAATGATTTTATAATATTCCTATTTTGAAAAAATAAATAACAATCTTGATTTAAAAATAGAAGTAATTCTCATGTATTAACAATTATCGAATTATTAAAATAAAATTCATGAGAAATCTGAATCCATTTATATAAAATATACGTAAATGAATATAAAGAATTATTTTACCACATACATCATAAATGACAATAATTTGTTTTTTTCTAAAATATAAAGTCAGGAATAAATAATTAACTATATGTGAAAAAGTAATCCTTATGATTGTTTAGAAAAATTAGTTAAAATTTAATATTTTAATATTTTTTTAAAAATAAAAAAAATAATATTATTCAAAATAAATCAATAGTTGAATATTAACTTTTAGTCAAATTTCCAAACGTGTGTTTGATTGCTCCAATAAAAGAAGCCGCGGGTGTTTGAATTTTTTTATTTTTTTGTTAAGAATTTTAATAAAATTACCTAGCAAATGTTCTGTCGCTAATTTAAGGTTTGAGTACAGTTATACATCATTTGTTTTTTTTAATCGTTTTGGCCACAAATTTTGTAGTTCAAAAATTCTGTGGCTCAAATGGCTTGAAAATGTCAAAACGACGTTATTTTGGATACAAAACAACTCCGAAAATGTCAAAACGACGTCGTTTTGGCATTTTTAGACTATTTGAACCACAGAATTTGTGGCCACCAAACATTTTTCTTTATATTATTGGATACATGATATTGTATTATTTATCTTTATTATTTCAAATAACAAATTAATCACATGATATTGTATTATTTATCTTTATTATTTCAAATAACAAATTAATCATGAATATTTACGATGATATGAAACGGTGATAAAAATAAATAAATAATAATATATAGCATTTCCTTTTAAGTTTTTAGCAATGTTACAGGAAAATTTTAATCTACACACTTTTGAAAAATATGTATTGTATACCTCTTTAGTTATGTCATTTTTTTCTTTAACTATGATATTATTTTAGTTATGACTCATTAGTTCTTTAATTATACTTCATATTATATGTTAGTTATGACATTTTTATTTATTTTTAGTTATAACTCAAAAAGTATGAAATTATCTCATTTTTTTTCTTTTCTTTAGTTGTAAGGTACATATGTTACACACATTTTATTTTAGGAAGTCAATGTTAGGCTTTTTTGGGCTACCAAAAGACAAAATAGGTTAAAATAGTCAATAAGAGAAAATATCACATCAAATCCATAATTATTTTATTTTTTTCTTACAAACATCACATCCAACTACAAAAAAAAAGTTAATCCTCTTACTAAATACAAATATTTTAACCTACTAAGGTTTCGTTTAGTATGTGGGTTGACTTTTTAATTTTTTGATTTTTTTTTTGACTATTTTAGCTTGGAGCTAAAGCCTCGTTTGGAATGTGGGTTGGCATTTTTACTTTTTGACTATTTTAACCAGATTTTGAGTGGTTACTGTGCGGGGCTAGGAATGGCAACGGGCAGGGCGGGGCCAGGGATCACACTCCCCGTCCTCAAGCTCTGATGGTGGAAATCTCCTTGCCCCGGCCGTAATCCCGACGAGGAACCTATCACCGTTCATGTCCCCGCCCCTAACGGAGACCGAGTTTTCCTGACCTTAAACATTCTCTGACCATCCCAAACTTTTTGCTACCCATTTCTAAAACTCATTTAAATAAATAAATAAATAAAAGATAAATTTAAAAAAAAAAACCCATTTCAGAAACTAGGGTTTTTCTATTGAATTCAAGCTCAAATATCTTAAAAATTAGACAATCCCAACTCAATTTTTCAAATCCAGTTTTAAATTTTTACCTTGTAAGTTTGTGGGTCTAATCAAAGAGGGGTGATTGTTCTCATCAGACAAAACCATTTTCTTTGGTTATATGAACTAATAATTCACAACCCAGATTATAGATCTCTCTCTTGAACAAGAACCTAGCTTAACAAACTAAATGTAGACTAAGAACATTTGAGAAAATAACCCTAACTTGCAAATCTAACAACATAATCACAACCAACTCAAAACCCTAAATAGAAGCTGAAGTTGTAAAACACACACAAATATATAGATATGTATATATATATATATATATATTCACCCATGGACACATACAGAGAGAGAGAGAGAGAAACTAGATCTAGATTTGAAATGGTGGAGTTCATGGAGGACTTCGCTGTGCTCGACCGATCTCGTTTTCCTTGGAGTAAATTTGCAGCGATGAAGATCTAAAGAGAGACGATGGCCAGGGGTAGCATGGTGGTAGTGGCATCAAAGGAGGCAACGACGTCGGAGGATGCGACAACTTTGGATACGGAAGAGAGAGAGAGAGAGAGAGTGAGAAAGAGAAAGAGATATGAGTTTGCATAGTGAACTGAATAGAATAGATATATATATATATATATATATATGGGGCTGTTCGGGGATTAATCGGGGCCAGGCCGGGCCGGGGAATCTACCCCTGTACCCGACCCGAAAACCATCGGAGATTTATTTTCAATACCAGCCTCGGCCCTATGTGGGATAATTTTCAGGGGAAACTCGACTTATCAAGACGGAGCGGTCCGAGTCCCCATCTGGCCGGGTTCAAATTGCCATCCCTGTGCGGGGTTGTAACAACCCTTGTCACTGTTTACCGATTAACCACTGATTATTGCTAAACTGAGACTGATTATGATTGGTAACTGAATCGATTGAAGTACTGAACTGACTGACTGAAATCTGGAACTGAATTGATTAAGTATATCTGTTTAATTGTATGTCTATCTGTTGACTGTGTGATTATCTGTTCATGCCTTTGTGTTTAAATTGTGAATTGAAGACCTTATCGGCGGCCGAATCTAAAATTGATTGATGATATGTGATCCTTAGAATTAATGTGATTTTATGGCATATTCAGTTAAAATGTGATTTGGTATGATTAAATTAGGTTAAGATAAGCCAAATTGCATGAGTTGACTTAATTACCATTTTGCCACCATTGAGTGGGCCACTTAGCCAACATACTTGAGCCTTGTTATACATGTAATCAAACACATTTCATCAGCCATTTCTCTTGTTATTGCCGACCAAGAGGGAGAGAGAGAGAGAGAAGTGAGTGTTCTTGAGAGTTGGCTTAGAGAACTTGAAGAATTGAAGGACAATTGTCTAATTAAGCTTCTAGTCTTGTGATTGAAGACTTAGGTAAGGAAATTCAAACTCTCATTGTTGTGTTTAAGTTGATTCTTGCATGGTTCATGTTAATTGAATGAATGTATGTCCTATATTCTGAACTGTATTGTGGCATCCTTAGCAACTACTGTTTACTGTTACTGTTACAGAGATCTCTGTCGGTTCCCTTGTTGGAACCACTACTGTTACTGATTGATGGCCATCATTTACTGTTCGGTCTTTTAAGACCTACAGTTTACTGTACTGTTATGCTAATGGATGTATCATATATGACTGAATGACTGATATATTGAATTAACGAACTGTTTTCATTACTGTAAGGACATTCATTCTTAACCTCTTTACGCATTACGGTATTCACTGGGTTTTAGCTCACTGCTCATATATATATGTAGGTGTACTGGCACCAGACCGTGGTTAGAAGCGTCGGGGTAAGCTCTAGTTTTGTCAAGCCAACCACTGTGCCTCACTGCCAGGTTTCGTGCCTGTCGAGTTATGGCTTAGGGGTGTTTTAATTTCCCCGTCTGTCTCTGTATCTGCTTGTATAACTGTATAGACTGTTACCGTACTGTTTAATAGGGATTAGGTCCCTGAACTGAATGATTGTATATATGTATATACTGTTTTGTACTGTTCATGTATATGTGTATGAAAAGTCTTTTTGGCATACAGACTGTCACAGCTCATTGGACATTATTTATTTACTGTTTTGGCTTCCGCCATGCCCCTGTACTCTGTTTTACTGTATTACTGTTAAGCAGGCCTTCAGTAATCTTGGATTACTGGCCGGTTACGGTGCTAAACCCATAGGGACGGGCTTGGGTCGTGACAGAGTGGTATCAGAGCGATACTTACCACGAGTTATACCGTGCACACGTGTCCCAATGAGCTATAGGATGTCCTAGAAAAGCGATTAGGGCATTACATGAGCATGATAAGTGTGTGGCTATGACATGACTGAATGTATGCTAATGTGTTAATCTGTTTAAACAAATGACTGCCTATGTTGATAACCGCTATAACTGCCTATAGTGAAATGGATAATGCGAGAACTGCAAATGAATCTGAATCCTCATCCTCTGAGGCAAGAATGGCAAGGCTGGAAAGAATGATGGAACTAATGACTGAGAGACTAGATCAACAACAGAATCAACAGCCCCCACCTCCTCCTCCGGTACAGCCGGAGCAGAATGTGAATGTTAATGATGGGGACATAATTGCTCTCACCCATAAGTTCAGCAAAATGAAACCGCCATCCTTCTAGGGAGGCCTTGAACCGTTAAAAGTTGAAGCATGGGTTCTCGAGACAGAAAAATTGTATGAGGTATTTCCGTGCTCCGAAGCACATAAAGTGCTATTGGCCACCTTTACTCTGCAAGAAGAAGCTAGAAGGTGGTGGATGCTTATCCATGATGACAACACTGTAATGACTTGGGCTCAATTCAAAGGAGCCTTCTTTGAAAAGTATTTTTCCCAGTGTGTCAGGGACAGGAAAGTAACTGAATTCGAACAGCTGAGACAGGGCACAATGTCCGTTACTGAATATGAGGCAAAATTTACTGAACTTGCCCGTTATGCACCACACATGGTGGACACTGACTACAAGAAGGCCAGAAAGTTT